GTATGTGGAAATAGATCAAATACCTAATTAAAATCAATCTCTGTGGGCTAATCACAACTAGTGATTCATATTAGTACCTTTATTATTTTCAGTGTAATATGAACCTTACTTTCGCAATCTGCGTCTACTTTCAATGCGTACAATTTTTCAAAAGACCTTAATATTTCCCCATGTTGTAATTTTACGCTCTGCAATGTCCATCTGTTCCTTCTATTAATTCTATAATCCTACAATTTATTCTTTTTATATTTTCTTGTTCCACATAAACTACATCTCCAATGTTCAGTGTTCTAGGTAGTTTTCTCTGTTGGTGATGATGAATCAGTTGCGATTGGTATTCATTCCTGAATCGAGATCTAATGTCGTCTCTTAATTTTTGCAAATATCGGTATCGTCTGATTATATGACTTCTGTCGATGTTGTCCAGGTCTGGTATTTCACAGGTTTTCAGGTCATAAAGAAACATCGAGGGTGTCAATGGAATTAAGTCTTGATCATTTTCGGAAACATACGTCAGCGGCCGAGTATTTATTATCGCCTCGCAAAAAACAGTTCTTCATAATTAACGCATGCTTTTCCCAAATTTTGCTGGAGTAATTGTTTGATCATTCTTACAATACGTTCACAGAATCCTCTCTACCACGCAGCTGTTGGGATATTAAAAAACTCCAAGTGAATTGCTCTAAATACTGAGCATGTAAATAGAACCAACCATCTTTTAAATATAATGAGCCAGCTAAATCCACTCCTGATATCTCGAAAATAGCCGCATTATTTATCCTATCTTTTGGCAAAAGTGATAAAGGATTTGCTATTAAAGCGTTTACACGTTATGCATTTTGTGGTAACTTCTTTTATGGTTCGTCTTGCTCTTAAAATCCAATAAGTTTCTCTAATAATACACAATAATGTCTGGACGCCAGCGTCATTGTATATTTTATGCTGTTCTAATCTAAATTTTCTCACAATTTCATGTTTAGATGGTATCAATATAGAAAATTTAAAATTGTATGGCTCATTGCAATATGTTAGTCTCGTTTTTAATCTCAAAATATTATTTTCATCTGTTAAAATGATCTATTTTTCTATTTTCGACCAATCCTTGCTTTTTAATTACTTTAATTAGTCTTAATTCTGCTTTTACTATTTCTTCATAAGTTAATTCTTCTTCAATTTCTTTTAAATCTTAGATTTTACTTCCAATGGGTCCCGTATTCCTAGAACATCGAAATTCTATAAGCTTTATATAGAACAATTTGACAATCCTGAAAACAACAAAACATTTGGCTTAACATTAGGAGATTTTCCAATTATTGTCCATCCTAATCAAGAGCTATTAATCCATTTGACAAAGTCTGCAAGTTTCCTGTGAATAAAATTCCAAAAAAGTCTGCACCTATTAATAAACCTATCTCTAATGGCGCACTCGAAAAGGAATTATCACTTAAAATTATATTCTTCTGTTGTAGTTCACTGATAATGTATAGGAATATAATTACCAATTTTTTCCTGATCTAAAAATTGCATATTTATTTCATATTGCTCGTTTAAGTTTTGAGCTGTGATATAGTAGTACATGTACTCTTCCTAACAAAATTTAATTCATTCGCATATTTAGCTAATATGTATGATCTTTGCAAACCGGAATCTAATAGAGCTCGAATAAATTTCACTTTGTTCTTTTCTTTATTGATTACTTTAACCAAAGTTAAGCTTCGAAAGTGTAATTGATCATTAACGAATTATCAACTTGATACTGTGGTGGAGCTGGTGGTAGTAATAAAACACTGAATGAAAAAGTAAACATTATAATGATTAACCATTTGAAATTACAATAATAATTATGAACCGCGAACTTCTAACGATCAACGACAATGGATCGATACTTCGATACTATGAAGACTAGAGATAAGGAGGCGAATCGGCCTTGGTCAAACTTCAAATTTCCGTCCCTATTTTTATGGAGTTCCAAAAAACTACTGTAGTTGGCGGGTGGCAAAATTACGACGTCTATTTTCTATGCAAGTCAATGGGAATTAAAGTGATTTTTGTAAAATTTAGTGAGAAGAATAAAAATAAACTGAAATAAAGAACCTGACTACAAGTAACAATGAGTAACAAAAAACGACAAAGCAGGATTTTCTTCGTGTTGGGTTGCAAAACGGGATATAAATCCGATATAAAATTAAAGAAATCACAAAAAGATAAAAATCCAAGTCTTTTTAAAGCTCCTAGTGTAAGTAAAATAATGTATTTATTTCTAAATAATATATATTTATTGTAAAATAGTCACAACCCGTATCTTACGGAGTGTAGTTTATTTAATTACAAAATTCGATAATAAAAAACAAAATCATAAATCCTGACTTACAAACTACAATAATTACACATTAAATTTAACTTACTAGAAAAGAAAGTTTGCTTTTTTTATGTTTTTTGATGTTAGATGAAGAGTTACTACTGTTATTTTTCTTCATTGAACTCCAATTTAGTCATTGCAAATATTTTTTATAGGATCCTAAACGTTTAGAACAATGGCAGCATGTGATTCCTAGGGCTGATAAAGTACTGTCTAGTTATGATTCTGTTTGCGAGCTACACTTTTTAGAAGATGATATTTTAAAATTTGATGAGACTTTTAACTAATGGTACTGTTAGCAAAATAAAAAGGGGACAGCTGAAATTAAAGGATGAGGTAATACCATGTACATTCCCAAATCTCCCTTTATACTTGTATTACAACAATAAAAAATCTGTTAACTGTGTTTTATTTTACTCTTAAAGCTATTGGTTCAAATAAAAAAAAAATTGCCACAAAATTGTACTTATCAAATTTCAGCCATTAAGAAACCTTTTCGAATTTGGTCATACATACCAAAATTTTATTTTATATAGATAAAATTTAATAATTTATCAATTAAAACATGCAAGACTTATTTAGAAATAAATACAACAATATGTTCTGTGCTTTATTTAGCTGTAAACAAGTTTATTTTTATTATTTTGACAACATTATGTATAATTCCCATAAGAAGCCATGTATTTTGAACTACGTAAACCGTACCAGCGCCCATGCGGTTAATTATAAAAGCTCAATTGACGTGTGATTTTTGGGACCGTATTTTGAGCATGCCGATTCGCCTCCTTACCTCTAGTCTTCATATTCGATACTAATGACAAACTGTCAGACTTACAGTGTTACCAACTGTTTAGAATAAAAAGGATCTAAGAACGTTGCAATACCAACATAAATATATAATTTTGATTGTTACAACAACAGATGTTCACTATTTTCTGCTACAGATTTTCCCTCTTTTTGCCTTGCTAAATCTGGACATAATATAGGGTAATGTTTTTAGTGCAAATTATACATATGATAAAATTCTTACAATTTTTTGTAGTATGCTTTTATTTCAGAAATGACAAACATCTTTTCTTTATTTCTTTATTTTCCCTATCATCCATAGATATTTTCTAGGCCTTGAAACAGTTTTAACTTAAATGAGTTCGATCACAAAAATATATTTTCTTCTTACCTACGATATTTCCCTTTGAAGATTGTGAGTAAAGTGTAGCTGCCGTAAACAACTGTTGTTCTTCTTTTTTAGATGTACCTCTGTTACTGTGGTACTTGAATGTCGCTCTCAAGTTTTCAGAATATCTGCCGGTAGAGACGACTCTACTAAAGTGTAAATCAATATTTGTCGCTAGTGACTCCTAATGATTCTAGTGAAGTTAACTGTGTTTCAAGCTTATCATATAAACTAGCTAAACTCATAGCAGACATACTTTTAGTAACTTGATGAAGTACGAAACTTAATAATTCTCTTACAAAGACCTCGATCAAAAATTCATCCCTAGCGCAACCATTTCTTAAGTTGTTTAGTGCCTTTTGATAATTAGCCTTTGATGTTGGAAAACTTTCTACAATTTTTCTGGCAATAGATCCTGGTTCTATGGCTTGAATCAAATATTGAAACATCTTCATCATCTATATGATCGTCTTCATGTATCTTCTTATATTGTGCCCAAAAACCTATCCAGTTTCTTACATCCCCGTTAAATTTCTAACATGGGCAATTTAAATCTTCTATTTTCTACTTTCAAGCTTTCAGTCTTGCAGCTGTCTTCCGATTCTTCTTTAAGGATAAACTCTCATCTGGCAGTATAATTTATCATCTCTTCTTTGTAATGTCCTACTTGATCCATTTCTTCTTTGATTTCTTGTGGAGTAACATTTGAACTAAATAACTCTTGCTCTCCAATTGCCTCATGTAGATCATCACCTGCCCCTAACTAGATTTGAATGAGCTAGTGCTGCGTCGACATCTTGGCAAGTCTTCTTAAAATGATTTTTTTCAACCTTAAGATTTTCCATTGTTAACGCTGTCACGGTCGCCAAGTATTAGAAATGTGCAAGTAAAAATGGAATAATCGTAAATACTTTATTTTTCTCTTTGACAAATACATTTTCTTTAATGACAAAATTACTGAAAATTCTCAAACAAAGTCTAACATTAAAGTATAATATATCAACTCTAACAATGGTTTGTTTTTGTTAAAAGTTAACTATCAATGGAACAAAAATTACGTCGTGCTAATATATCCTATTATATTGTATTTCATAAGGATCTCAACATAACTATTTCAAGATTTCTATCAAATTTAAAACAAATTTGTATGTCTCAAAATCAGGAAATGAAATAAATATTACATATATATATTATATATACACCGGAATTAATACTTCCTTTTTCCTTTATTACAAATCATAATACAAAATTGATTTAAAAATATATATAATAACTATTATGAATTCTAAAGTAACAACGATCTTTGACCTAAGAAAACGTGTTCCAAACCAAAACCGTTCAATAAATATACCACACGGATGAAATTATAATTTATTGTGATTCATACATACATCATACATGAAGTGTAACTTTGAAAAAAAATTGCATACACGCTACGTGACTGGTCAGTCCTCATTCTGAGATTGACTGATGCATTGAAAACACATACATATCGAAACGGTTACGTTACTGTTAACGCGAAATAATGATAAAATTGCGTTACTCTGTGCGGTGTTCTCTCTGAATAAATAAAGATTCTTTTACTTTTTACCAGTGCGGGCGTGAACGTAAAACTTCCAAGAGACGCCAGTTTAGTAACAAAATATGACTGGCTAGGCTTTAATTTCGATCAGTCAAAGCCTCGGAAATATATTTTTATTAAAACAGTATCCGGCTTGTGTGAGTGAAATACATTATTTTCGACAGTTTAAAAAAATAACTAAAATAAGATATTTTATGGGCAATTTTTTTGATCTATTTCTACCAGGTATGTTTTTTTTTTATTTTTGGAAATCTTTTTTATAAAGATGAAGTCCTTAAATTTCTTTTAAAACGTTTTTATAGGCCAGTCATTAAAGATAATCAATTTACATTAATTATAAAAGTTTTCAAACTTTGTTGGGACATTTATTAAATTGAAATAATTATAAATTTCATTTTGCAACTTTTTTGAAAGTCGGAAACATGTTTTTTTATAAAATAGCGTTTTTGTTTATATCATAGATAAAAAATTGCAGAAGTGCTGCAAACCGATATAACTCATACAAGTTTTTGGAACAACCCTTCCAATTTGCAACTTTTTTTATTGCACGGATACATATATTTTTAATAGCAAAGTAATTCTTTATTTTTCTCTAATTTTATCAAAAAAATGCAAAAGTTTTGAAAATTAGTTGCAAATGTAATTATTTTTCTTAACAATCTGGTAAATTTGCAACTTCGAGCAAGGTTCGAACCTAGAAAAATTAACAAAAATCAACAATTCGTACTTTTTGCAGTCGCAAAAAAATTATAAAAGTAATGCAACTTTACAACAATCCAAGATTAACAACGCAAATGATTTTAAATTGTCTATGACCAATTTTGCATTGCAAAATTAATAAAAAAAGTGTCTAGGGCAACAAAAAAAAATATATTCATAAGCAATATGGCATGTGCGTCCAACCTTATACTTAACAAGCAAAATAAATTACTGGTTTTAGTTTTTTTATCGAGCTTACGGAGAATATTTATATTTATTCCATATTAAATAATTGGTCGATACGGTATAAACTAGAACCTAGGAGAGAAAACAATATCGTAAATCGAGACGAGAATAAGAAATTAACCCAATACTGTTGGAAATAGGCCATTTAGGTAATAAAGGTTTATTTTGGTTCAATCCGGACCGTCGATTGCAGTTTTGAAATACAGTCGACGAATTTATTTTTCAAGAACACGTCGCTACGTTGTAACTACGAATTGAACTGAACAAGTGTAATTCACTGATTCGTGAAAAAAACCAGAACACCTGGGTGGATTTGAGCGAAATATTTTTATGAAAAACGGAAAATCAAATTGGTCGTTATAAGAGCATACAGTGTACAACTCTAATGTATAAGTTTTGTTCCCAAAGTAATGGATTCCGTGCACCTTCAGATACGTACGTTGCTTGTCTGAATGGCACATTATCCGATGACGAATACCAAGATCCAGACTACCCACATATCCAATTTCAAGAATCAATGAATTTGGAAGAAATTAATATTAAGATAACTAATGTTTCTGAAAATCCTGGACCATCCGGTTGCAAGAAACGAAAGCTTTTATAATTATTTCATCAAAACAGCAGTTTCATAGTAGGTACCTTAATTTGAATATTATTTTCTTTCAATTTCCTTTTTTAGTTTTGTGAAAATCAAAAATATTTCAATTTTGTTTGAATTGAAACAAAATATCGTTTTCCATTTCCTTGTTTTATCAATAAATATTCTGTATATAATCAATACAGCCTTCTCTACTTTTAAAAAAGTTACAAGTAGAACTTTATTATCAAACATAACATTCTTGTGGGTGATTTAATAATGTTCTGTTATTTACTTGGCCTTATGACTGAAACCTAAAATTGACAAATAAAAAAATAAAACTATACCTATAAGACACTATTAGCTTTTTCTATTCCATTATTATTTACAGAAAAATTTCCATAATTTTTACAACGATAAGAATCTAATAACAAACCGTATGCAGTCAAAGTAGTTAATGTGATAAATACCAACCATTTTTTTTTTGTTGCGAAGCAAGTATCATAAAAGAGAGAATGATTGTTTAAAATTATTGTCAAGTGATCCCAATAATAAATGTATTCATATTTTTCCCATTCGCTATTTAAAATTTATAATTACTAAATATTAATTTTGCAAATGTCCTTTATGTTTAATATATCAATTTTGTGACAATGTTACTGTTTAGTTTAAAACAATAACCAATATGCAACCCTCTATTATGATTTTTTCAATAGCTATAGATCTTTTACAAAGGGAACTATTAAATTAATTGAGTCTACATATTTGTCTTTATCATAGAGGCAAAATAGGGAAGGAGACGCAATCACGTAGTAGGAAGTGTCACTATGTCGGCTAAGTTGATACTAGACGTCCAGTGGCGGGTGTCGTAATTTAAAAAGGGTGTTTGCTTTTTTCCAATAGTTCTATCGTTTGTAAGTTCGGTTCAAAACTTTGTTCAATCGTCAATATCGCTGTTTTTTTTTTTTTTTTTTTTTTTAATTTGAGTTTATATTAAGTGTAGTCAATATCATACTGTTTGCAAACACTACAACTATTAATTAATATTTAATATTTGTTTTGTTTTTTATACGATGAAAACCATTTATAAACATTATTAGTCAGCTGATTATATAACTTTACCTACCGCTTTTCGGTTTTTGTTGTAAATTTAATCATTTTCACAATTTATCACGCATGTCAAATAAAATAATATATTTTTTTAAATACCTTTTATTGGCAAACAAACCAAGTGAACTAAAATGTTTATTTTATAAGATCAGTCCCATCAAAATAATTACCCAGATACAAACTATAATGAAAATATACAATGCGTAGCATTCTAAATTATACTCTTCACAGTTTAAGAAACCCCCCTTACTCCCATTTTCAAACAGATTTTTTCAGAATCAATAGGCTTCATCCCCTTATTGAGCTTGTTTTTTTCCAAAAATTTCAAGTTCATATTATTGTTCGTTTTTGAGTTAGAATTTTTTTAAATATTTCAACCTCACTTAACCCCCCCCCCACACTATAATTCAATTTTTTTTCACAACCAGTAAGCCTCATCTCCTTATAGAGCTTGATTTTTACTAAAAATTTCATGTTGATTTCGCTTTTCATTTTTGATTTATGATTTTTTTTTCATTTCAACCCGCCTTAAACACTAATTTTTAATCAGATTTTTTTCAAAATCAAAAGGCTTCTTCTCCTTATAGAGCTTGATGTTTGCTAAAAATTTCATGTTGTTATCGCTTTTTGTTTTTCGTTTTTAATTTAGGATTTTTTTAATATTAACCCATCTTAACCCCCTATTTTTAATCAATTTTTTTTCAAAATCAATAGGCTTTGTCCCCTTATAGAGCTTGTTTTTTGCTTAAAATTTAAAAGTTTTTTCGTTTTTGACTTATCGTGCAGACAAAAAATGTGACATCGGACAAAGTAAACCTATAATACTCTTCACAGAGTATAATAATATAATCAAGGCTAAAACAATAACATAATAGACTAAAAAATAGGTACAATAAAAAAATAAAGTCAAAGTTTTGAAAATTATTTAATGGGTAATCAGTGCCTCGGAGGTAAACTGCAGTCATTCTAGTGAACTTTTTAGTAGAGCAGACTGAATGTTGTTTGAACACTTTTGTGTTCCATATTTACATTTATATCAATTATATTTCGACAAGAAATGCAGTTAGCCCCAATTATTATATGTATTATTTACTAATAATCTAACTTTTTTTAATATACATGACTTGTTGGTTTTGGTAACATATTTCTATGTTCTGATAACAATTTTTTTATGATTAATTGTCATATATCTCCAACATGCCTCTATAAATAGTACGACATAGTTCAGTTTACATCCCGGGTACTGATATCGGTAAATATTTAATTAAGTTTTCATCATGTAGGTACATACCTAACATAGACACAACTATTTAGTTTCTTGAATTAATTTAGCCAAGTGCAAAATTTATTTTTTATATCGTATTTAAAAAAAAAGCTAATGGAAGTTAGCTTCCATTTTTTTGTAAATACATGCGACACCATCATTCAAGTTAAATTCTCACCGCTTCATCAGTCTGACACTGTTTACCTCTAGCATTTATAGATAGGATATATTTCTATAACTTTAAATTTATTAGGGATAACCTACAAAATAAAACAATTATTCATACAAAATTGTACTAGGGTCAAGAAATTATTCTTGTTCGAATAAAATATATAATAAAATTGTTATATTTGTGAAATACCTTCTGGTACAATGTACAATGATTTTTCTTGGCTGGCAACTGCAATCTAAGATCTGTTTAAAGTTATGTACTTTATATCATTGCCATAAGAGCCCATTTCTTGATGGAACTCAGTCATCGCCTAATTTTGATGGTTTTCCTATAAGAGAATACCGATGACATTGTATCTACTTACGCAGTTTTCTGTTTTAGAGTTGGGTATAAAACACATGACCATTTTGTAGAAACTGTAACAAAACAAAATATAAACATAACCTCAAAAATAATAGTAAATGTTTTACCTTGAGCTTGGAGACGTGTTTCGATAACAATCATTGAATTGACACACATACTTCCGATTTATTGAATTCGAAGTTTTATTTAAACACGGTTTTTAAAAAAACACAATTAAAATTGACTTATGGTGAATTTTAGAGTTTGACAGCTTGATTGGAAACATCAAGATAACCTTTACATGTATCATATAACAAGAATATAACGACTACATATCAACAATATATCAACTATATTATGTACAAGGATTTTTCTTAGTTTTACCTCGAAAATACTTGTTAAAATTATGCGGATGTTATTATCCTTGTTAATCTGATAGACCGTCAGATAGTGACCAAATTAGGTGCCCCATTTTCGCATACAAGCCTCGAAGAGGGTTGAAAAGTACATCGATGTTGAGTAGAATAAAAGAAAATTAACGGGTGGCTCTTAGGGATAACACATGGAAAATTCCATTTTCCTTCAGAAAAATTTTCCGACCCCGAAATGCTCTTATACATTCAGGTCATTCAAGTAAATATATTTTTCGGACTAGTGACGATGTACGTTTTCATACATTTGATGGGCATGTGTAGAAAAATCTGGTAAAATCTCGATTTTTCCTTAGAAGATTACTCTCTTATTTCAACCCTTTAGCCACTTGCAACATTAAAGCCTTTTGATTTTCCGAAGCCTAGTTCTATTAATTAATCATA